CAGTACACTCGATCGCACAACAGTTATCAAAGGAACTCATTTGAGCGCTTGAATGGATAGAAAGGAAGTCAATCTCGTCGCGCAGAGATAAGGCGCAGGGCGCACACCACGTGCTGCTGCTTCTGCTACTGCTGCAGCTCAATAAGAAGCCGCCAGCCGTATACCAGACCGCACCTCGTACTATTCGCTCGACGCATCTTATCCTGCGACTGACTATCTATACCCTGTATACCTTGCTATGTATCCATGTACCTGCTTTTCTCGCCAGGAAGTTTTTTCACGTTCTAAGAGACGTGAGGAGAGCCATGACGAGGTGATATTTTTTTAATGATTACTTTGTAATTATTGACACGACGATGCAAAATTAATGGTAACTTATTTTTTAATAACCATATGACATTTATTTTAAGACATAAAAATCCTTCTGGACATAAGAAGTACTAGTAGTTAAAATTTATGCTTAGTCGGACATTAAACAAATGAAATTAAACAAATTATTCACCAAGGCAATGACAAAATTCACATAACTATACGTTAATTTTCAACTCAACTATTTACATGAAAAAAATTTTTTTTTGCAACTTGTATCATATCGCAAATATATGATGGCATTTACAATTTCGTTCTCTTCTTATGTTTGCCCCGCTTACGAGCTTGCTACGCATCGATTCGCTTTTTTGGGCTCTATGCATACCTCGTTTTAATCTAATCTGCGGAGGCATGTAAGAATATATTAAAGAAAAACTTTGAGCGACCGAGCAAGCTCTCTCAAGCGAATTATGCGTATAGCGGCTGCCGCTGCTCCAGCTACCCGTTTCGAAGCCAAAAGTCAAGGAAAGTTTTATCTGGCGACGCATATAATGTATACACAAGGAAAAAGTTGCCATATATACATACGTTTCGCGAAAAAGTATGTGTATAACATGTTTGGTGACGAGGGCGACGGAAAAAACTTTCTTTCCTTTTTTTTATCATGTCTTTTGTCTTATTGTGATGGATGTAGTTTTCTTCAAGTTTGTAGAGAAAAAGGGACAGAGAGAGAAAGTTGTGGAGATTTGTTTAGATAGACGTCGATTGTAGATGTCTTGAGTTGTCTTGACAGACGTAGAATGTAAAAAGTTTAATAAGACCTTGAATGAATATGTAAAAGGTTTGTTTCAATTTCGGATGTAATCCACAATTTGCTCGATACAATTACACACAACAATTTTGGTTTTGTTTAATTTTTAACGAAGCACCCTCACGAGATATGAAATCTTATTTTTGTGAAAAAAATTTTGCATTTGCAATATGTTTTCATTGACATTCGTATGTGTGTGCGTATACGATTTGGCGCAGCAAGGCAAAATTTTATGTATATCCATTTATCGTGGATGCATGAATGTACGGCTTTTTGCGCAGTGTCAACTGAATATGGAAATTAGCAATCATCCAACCTTTTGTATAAAATAGCGATTAACCAATGCATAATGAGAAACGGTTCAGAAGCGAGTGAATGGGAAGATCGGGTACTGGCGAGACAAATTAAGAACGAGTAAACGAAGTCGTCGAGGAATAGATTTCAGAAGGAGTAACGGCAAATATACGGACGAGGGACAAGGGTACAGCATGGGCGAATGCGGCGAGAGAAAAATGTAAATGAGAGGGAATAATAAAAGATTATTCCTTGGCTTGACGCAGGTTGGTTATGATAATGCCAGCGCCAACGCGTTTCTATCTGCAGCGGGCGAAAGAAATTAAGGCAGTTCTACGGAAGTCTCACGTACTATATATTATTGAAACGTTAGCGCGCGCGCGCACTCGCACTCGCGCTTCCATCATGCCAGCAACGACAATTACATTGCCTGCTGCATATTTTTTATTTCGTCTCTTCTTGCGACCTTGTTCATAATTTTTCTCCCCGTTGCTTCTTTTGGCTTTCTCCTCTAGAGAAAGCTCAGCGATAGGTTCAGAAACGACTTTTGTCATGAAGGAGGTCTGGTGCATTTTTCATAATAAATAAAGTATATCTAATTTTCATGTTCGAATGACTTTTAAAAAAAGTTTCAATTTCTCTTGTCGGATATGATTTAAACCTACCTTCTTAACTACCAGTGATATTTATATTGTTTTTGTACTTGTGGTGGACAAGTTAATTTTATAATAGTTAATTTTATTGGAGCAACATAAATCGAAAAGAAATATGACTTTTGTTTTAAATTTGTATATGTTTTTGATTTTATATGAAGGCATACACATCATTTTGCTTTATTCTCGATGTTCAAAGATCCATAAACGTATACACACTGAAGGGGTCGACAAATTTTTCGTTTCTCGCGCGTGAAAGACTTATAGGCACATGCGCGCTTCTACTCTGCGTGTAGTACGCACCACATTATGCAAACCATTACTATAGTGAAAAGCCGCAGCACCGCAAGGAAGCTGAAATTACATTTCCAATTCATGAAAATGTCAGTTCAAACTCTGCTGATTTGAACGTATGCGCAAATGTACATATGAGTCAGTATAAGTTTATTATAAGCTCAATGAAAATATTTTCAGAGCTAAGTAAATATCAACATCGTGTTTTGATAAAAACGAATAATGTAAAAAAAAATGCACTTAAAAAACTGACAAAAACTACTTTGATTTTTGAACAAAGAGTAAATTCACCCATATTTTTTCAAGAGTTTTCTTGTACTAAAAGATGAGATATTCTTATAGAAACTGTAGTCCTGTAGGCAATTGAATAAATAAAAAAATATTGATTTAAATTTTTATAAAAAAAGAAGAATTAAATTAAATTCGTCACCTTTTAAAAGTCTGCGGTTTTGACTATTCAAATTTGTTGTTTCCAAAGAGGATAAATCCAGAAAAACTTAATTTCGATTACTATTGAAAAACATTTTTTTTGAATATTAAAAAATAGTATTAAACTCGCCTTCGGCTCTTGCTGTAATCCCTGGTTTTGTTAAAAAAACCATAACTGCACCAGTTGATAATACTATTCTTTCCTACGAAAGCCTAAAATTAGGCAATGTTATTGCACTATGCCAAGTTCACACTTATGCCCCCTTTTTTTATGCATAAGTTGCCCTTTTTAGTAGCGCGAAGTGAGGTTAGCGGACGAGCGTAGGGAGTGCAATTCGAACGACGCGATGCCAGAATATGCGACTTATGCCATCGAAAAGCGTGTCATAAATATGAACTTATGCCACATAGTGCTATAATATACTATACTATTCGCATAGAGGAAAATATTACTTACCTTAGGGCAAATTTAGATAACACATACCTGCAATATATCCAGAGAAATATTCCCACAAAAAAATATATATCTTTGAATCCATTCTAATACAGTATAAATTTGTGAAATATTAAAATCAGTAAACAATTCAATGTTTGACAATGGAAAAAAACTTTTATTTAATGAATTTCTTTACCGTAAGGCTTCGTTTTGACTAAATAGTATTGAAAATTTTTTCATTATGAAAATTTAAGTTGTATTTTTAGACTTTTCAAAAAAAGTGAAGCTGAAATATTTCAAACAAGGTGGACCAAGCAAAATCAAAGTGAATCATTGTTCGAGCAAAACGGCTCGCGCGCCTGCAAGCATTACCGCTTTATCCCACGGGAAGTATCTATTCACGTAAACCTAAATATATGATTTCTTCTTGCCCGTCGTCACAATTCAAAAGTCATTGTGGTGACAATGAGGGTCTTGACAAGGCTCCGTCTATTACCCCATGGGGATACTATTGCACTGCTTTTCGTTCTCACTTACGTTACAAGACGAATATTATGTTGACGCAGCATGTGCAAATAGATAAGAGCCAGTATATAAACATGTTATAATATTCTCATTCCGTCCATGCTGCACGCCATTTGTATGCATGTTTTTATAGAAATTTTAGAAATTATTTGTAAGATTATCATTCATTGAAATTTTATAATAAAATGTTCAGTTATTTTGGTGTATTTGGCTATAGATACATGTTTTCACGAGATTAAATAAACCGTTAAGACTCGTTATTGTTTGATTCTTACTGAACAAGAAACTACATTGAACTACGATTCTGGCAGATCAATAGATGAATATTTTTTGAAGTTTTTGAAATGATAAAGACGCAAAACTTTTGAAATAAATGTTCTAGGAATTAATTGGTCTCATACTTCCTCATCTCATAAAATTTCTATCGAATCAGAGAAGGCAATTTTCTATGAATTAATAAAAGTTGCCGTTAGTGAAAAAAATATTACGAAATAGTCAGATCTCGAGAGCTTCCAAAAGTTCTCTAAGTAACAAGCACTGAAAAATCAAAACCAAAAAATTTTTATCTTTAAGAAATTGATATCTTAATCTAAAATTTGGGCAGTCATAATTATTCATATAACTTGCATTTAATAAAAAAAAATATTAAACCCATATAGTTTAATTTAATAGAATCTCTGATGATATGCATTTAACAAAAATTTTTTTTTTCTACATTTATACCGGATAAAAACTTAGATAACTCCTAAGTGTGAGCAGATAGGCTAGCGTTGCGCACGTTAGCACACTTTGTTATACTAAGCGGTGTAAAACATAAGATGAGTCTCATTTTCATGAGAGAAAGAGCAAAAGAAAAATAACATATTCTGTAAAAAAGGGTTGAACACGTAAAGAATAACTCTAAAAGAGCCATTTATATGGTGCCACAGTAGAGCCTAGCGGTATAATATAATATACCCTAACGAATGCCTCTTTATAAAGTAGCGCCGCTACTGCGGCTGTCTGTCTTACGAGTCGAGGCAGGGACTAAAGTTGCGCCAAAGTGTAATTGCTTAGAATCGTATTTTATACAAGAATATAAATTTTGAGTCGCACTTCTAAAAATGCACTGTTGTTTTTACAGTCACAACTTATCATTAAACCTTTACTTTTTGGAAAAGTTATGATTGTATTTTTAATTTTAAAATGATGGAAAATTCACTGCGCATTTGCCAAATAATTGAAGGGAAATAGTTACTATTACAAAGAATTATGTAGTAAAAATTTTATTTATTTAGCAATAAGTTTTGTTAATCGAACGACTACTATAAAAAATCCATATTAAATTTAATCTAGTTGTGCATTTTCATAATGCAATTATAAAAATAACGAAATTAAAATTTTTTTAATTATTTCGATACATTATCACTGCCATGAAAGGTAAAGCGAGGAAATAAAAGGTCGCAGAATTCAAGTTTGAAGAATTACAATAGTCGGTATCACACGTTGAACAATATTTAAATTCTGTTTTCTTTTCTGAGTGGTTTTTTATGAGAATATCACACGTTATCAATTCTGGGACACACGATCTTTCAGTGGTTATGACATTTCCATAATTTCCTGTTAGAATTAAAACGTATAAATCGCATAATCAAATTTATACATCATCTTATAAAAATATTTTTACTCACTGAATAGTCCCTTAATGCATTTCCATCTCCCAGTATAATTATAGTGCTCATGTAAATAAGCATGTCCTTAAACCAATAGTTAATTACTCATTCCTATATTTCATTAATTATTTTAAAAAGTATACTTACCATCTGGAGGAATGTAAGGTCCATGACAATCTGTGGCAGTTAATGCAGTAACATTTGTTGCACATCTCAAATCGTCAACTTCACGACAGGCATAACATTTTATCGATGAAACTAAAAAAAAATATATTATCAATTTAAATAATTAAAATAAATGAATAATTGATTGTGCTAAATTTTATAATTCTATAAAGGTTTTTGTCCGAGTTATGTTCTCTTTATTTCAAGGATTACGTCCATAAAATGACGAATCTTACGAAAATCGAAAATTGCAAAGAATGATTTAATAGAAGGTTGAAATGGTTTTTGATAACTTTACATATTCAGAATAAACCAATAATTATACGTAGATTATATATGTAGGTAAATAAAATATTTCATTTTGTTAAATGCGTGTTAAAATTGATATTAGAGCACAATAATATCCGATCAAAGTGATAAAATTGAAACATTCAGCTTTCTACTAACTACAATATTTTTATCTAATTTAATATAAGTTCTTCATTCCCGTTAATTAAAAACAAATATAAAAAACTTTTAAAAATACCTGAATGAATTGAATATAACAACACCACAATTAACAAGTACTTCACTTTAAAAAAAATCATTTTAACTCGTGTACTAAAACTCCTTCGTTCAATCAGTGCAAACGCGAACTAACGAGAAAAGAAAATTGAATTGAAAAGCAGCCGAGGTGAGGCTTATCTTTTCTGTAATAAGATAAAGGTATAAAATCCTGGTATGAGTAATAGTTTACAATGTATCATCGCATTGTCATAGTAAACTTACCTTGAATTTCATAGTCATTCATCAATAATTTTATAAAAATTCACGGTTCAATCGTTTGATCTAGTAAGTGAATAATATTTCTATCAAACAATTAGGTTGCTTGATAGAAACTTGCTGCACTCAAGTAAAATAAAGCAATAAAAAAATTATAATTCTTGCTCCAAGAAGCTTTAGCATATAGTGTCTTATAATCTAGCAAAAGGTTCAGAACGATTATAATTTGTATATCTGCTAAATGTTTTTACAATAAATATTGATATTGATTTATAAAAAACGAGTTTCATACACTCAGAATGAGACTTTCATTCGAGTCATAGTTGCGCATGTTTGCGCCTGTTGGGTGCGAGCCATATTATGCATACCAAGTCTAATATATCAGTCTTACAGGGGCTACGAGTACAGTTTCTCTCTCGCACGCGCGTTTTCGTCTGATAACAATTTCATGCGAGGATTACCCTTTTGCGAAGGGTGAGTGCAGCGGTGGGCCGGCCAAACACGGGCATGTGAGTGAGTGCACTATACACTGCGCTTCCCGACAGCCAAGGCAAAAGGGATCATCCTCTGAATAATGCTGCCGTTGTTGCTGCAATATTAATCAGATTGAAAGTAGTCATCTCTGCATAAATAGAATAAATGTACTCTAAATTGAAAATGCATCAAATATTTGAACGTGTTACTGCGTTAATTCAACGCACTTTTTAGATATGAAAAATAAAATTTAGCTATTAACGTAAAACTTCATTGCATGATTCATTTAACACCATTTTTTTTTTAATTCGTATTTGCTTAAAATGTTTGATTTATTCCACTTTTTGAGCAAATCTTTCAAGTCGAAAAATTTCCTACCTTCGAAAACATAATTCCTAGCAAAGTGATTGTACCTAAAAATAATAATAAAAAACTTTCGAAAACAGCTGCCAGTACATATGCACTGAGAAAAAGGTTTAGTTGAATCAATGAATTTTTACTTGATCCAACGAAATAATTTAATTGCGGGTTGCTCATTAAATATTTAATTGAATCAAAGAAAAATATGTAATTGGTTCAATCAGATAATTTAGTTGATTCAAATAAATATCTAAGTAAATTAAATAATTATCTAATTTAAGCAACTAAATATTTCATTGAATTGCAGAATAAATTTATTGTTTCAATCGAATCTATTATTGTATTAAGAATATAATTTCATTACTTCAAACAAATATTTACTTGATCGAATATAATATTTTTTTCAATGCAAAAATATATTTAATTAATTCAAATAAATATGTATTAGATTTGATTAATTGATTTGGCGCCGCGAAAAAATATTTGGTCATGTTGATTAAAATATACTAGTGAATCTATTACATTATTAAAAAATAATTTCAAGTTATGTCTTTAATATATTGTGGTATATTTGATAGCGAACTGTTCTTAGTTCCGGCTGTGGAGGGGATAGAAATTAATTAAATATTTAGTTGAAGTTATCATATGATCATCTTGTATGTATGTTGTATGTTAATAAGTTTATTACATAATTATTGAACAATTTTAATAACTATGGAATATATACATTAATTTCTACCTATTCTAACGCATGAGACTATCGCTTAATTCTAACGCTCGGATGACAGTTCGCTCGCAGTTGTCAATCGCATATGTGATATGTAATATTTTTATTTTTCGAGCTTTATGAAAAGTAGAGAATATCAAGGCATAATTAAACTTACGCATGTTGAAAATGTAAAAAATGGCATAATTTCGCCTGTGATAATGAATACCAATGCGACTACCATAAATAGGTAGAACGATCGTAGTGCAACTTACTTTTGGGTCTGAAAATAGCCTTAAGGCTTTTCCTTATAGGCTTCGATAAGATTGTGCATACAAAAGCAGGCTGAGTTTTAGCTTCATTCAAACTCCTTTGTAAAATTAGGTTGATTTAAAGAAAGAAAAAAAAATGGATGGAACAATATAGATCAGACAAATAAATTAGCTGAACTAATTATAAGTTTGATAAATTAAAAATAAAGAAGTGATACCGGTTTTATGATTCTTAAACTGTATTTTTAAAGTTTTAATCTGACTTTCAGAAATCGAAACGAATTATGTGTTTCATATTCTGTAAAAAATTAGTCAGAAATGCAGTTGTACATTTGCGCTGTGCCATGTACTTTTACTTTGATAATATGTGATTGATTTCGTTTCTATATAACTAAACTTTAAACAAGAAATTAAAATTTTTTAACTGTGAACCAAAATAGTATTATATTCCTCGTTAAATTGTGCCTAGACTAAGATTTTCGTATGTGAACCTGAGCTATTCCGATCTTCATATAATGAAAGTTTATGTATATGTGTATACTTAGGCTAAACCTAGATAGAAATAGGGATGGATGTACTCAGATGGCTTATCTCTGCGACTGGCGGCTTGCCTGTGCTTTCCAAGCACACATTTATTCATGCCTCTAGAGATGGGATAAGTTTGGCAAGTAAGGTCTATCGACGCTAGCTATCTCGTAAGTGTAAAGGCATGTGAAGGTTTGGAGGATGCCAAGTGGTTCTAAAGGTGAAAATGGTCGATCGACAGTTTTGTTTCTAATTGAATTTATTTCAACTGTGTGTTTAACAGTTCCAATCACTATTTAATTAAAAAAAAAAAAAATTACTCAATCATTCCTCAAGGATAAGTTCTCTTGAGGAACTGCGAAATTACACGATCTTCCTGAATTTTTTAATAATGTAGATAAAAGAACTGTAGTTTTTTTGTAACTATTAATAACAATTCGAGTACTTTTAAAGCGTTTTTTGAATGCAAAACTCTGCTGATAATTCATCGGCGTGAAAAGAAAGTCGTGTTTAAAAAATAAACCTTCATGGCTGGCAAGTTGGCCTTTTAAAATTAACTGGATCTTGTACTAGTCTCAAGTGAAAAAAATTAATTCAAGAAAAGACTGGCTTCCAAACAAAAACTTTTTTCTGTTTTTTTTTATCTCCTCTCAAGTAGAATATTTGTTTTTTTTTAACAATTTTTTATAAAAATTTTTAATCAATGAAAATGCCTAGAAAAATATAGTGTACATGCCTACAAAATTATCGCAACAAAAATGTTCATCAAAATTTTGGCAATTATCAAATGCTTCTTTCTTCGTCTATTTAGATCATACGAGACATTTTTTTTATTTCTAGGAAATTTTATCCTTTTTAAATCCATAAATACTATAAATGGGTACGATTAATATTGAGTTACCAATAGTGTTTGAGCGCAAAACTAATAATTACTGAAAAAAAGCGATTATTTAAACGTATATCAAGATTTTATGGTACCTGCATTTTATGTTTAGATTTGCCCATATAAGTAGTTTATTTATATGAATTATTTCAACTGGATGTCGATGAAAAAGTAGTATATTATAAAACAAGTTCTTGAAACAGATTATTGGCCCAAAAGTTGTTTACGTGAAGGCACAAATACTTTTGTGTGAATCATCTTTATCGTGTACTAGTTGCATACTATAGCATATTCTTTAGCATTTTGTCCAGGGAACGCAGTTTTTATGACACTGATAGGTTAGGAAAACCATGTTTGACGCATAGAATTTTAAAAACTTAATAAAATAATTTTAAAAAGTTGTATGAGAAGATATAATTTTTTTCCATTAAAAATATAAAAGAATATTTAAATCCGTTAAAATGGAAGTCAATGTGGTACAGAAATCTTGGACAAAAACTGTTTCCGAAAGATGTTAAAAGTAGATTTGTGGGTCAAGACCTGATGATAGAGATATAAAAGTAACCGTGGAAATATGCATAATTGAATTAGTCAGTTTCACGTATATAATGCTCATATTTCTGCGAGTGAAAGTAAATGAAGAGTATTTCAGAAGTGCTCAAGTAGATGTTTTGGGTGTATTTTAGAAGAGCGATTAAGTGAACGCGGAAATCTTTACTTAGTGAGTTTACAATTTTTTGACATTTCAAGAGCGAGCAAATATTCTCTAGTTTTCGGTTAGATCGATTCTTTTCACGCAAAGAAAATAAAGTAATAATAAAATTTATATTGCCAAATTGCTTACATCGACTGCAACCACTCGACATATCATTTACAAAGCCTTTGAATCATTATCATATTCCAGCAATATAGAGACAAAGATTGTCGGCACAAAATACTTTCTAATTACTAGAGCTTAAAAATTCAATTTTTCTTCAATATGTTGTGTCCTCGTTATAAATTATTTACGCATTTATGCATTAAATCAAGAATCTAGTATATTTTTTCAAAATCGTGACAAAGCAGAACATTTTTTGATATTTGAAAACAGGAGAAAAATTTTTTGGAGCAACTTTTTTTCGTCTTAGCTAATTGTTATAAAGAATTTTATAATCAGTTACGAAAATTAAGACATGAACATTTATTTAACGTGTATATAAAATTGACAACATACATCAATGATTTGCAAATAACTACGTACATTTTAATGTATTACCGTCATATTTTGCTTTATCAGTACGATCAGAGCATCATCCTACATAATCATGCATTATGATGAAATTGTGAAATTAGCGAACGGTCATAATCAATGATCATTTTTTATATTTCATTCTTATAGATGTTCCTACCATTTATATCTTTTAAAAGTAAACATAAGTCAATGGAAGACTTCATATATGAATGGGTATAATACATAAATAATCATCATAATTTAGTGTTACTACTTGTTTGTAGTTCATTTACCACTATATTGAAGATTGGTACGAACTTAACATTATTTGGTATCTTGGGAATGAAATTACTTTGCAATTGACTAGATAAAGAAAATGTAAGATATCAAAAATTTTGAATAAGTTTATCGTTGATTTTTGAGGATTAAAAAAAAAACAAATAGTTATTGAACATATTTTCTTGAGTTACTAAATAAATTATTTCATTATATCGAATATTGATAATTCCATTTCATTAATTATTATTGCTAAGTCACTTGTACATAATTTCAGTTTCGTAAATGCGCTTCGGTATACTTTTAATTATGATTTAATGTGATGCAAGTCGAGAAATTATTTGTAACCTTAAGTACTGAAAGTGAAAATGATTTACTTTTACAAATACTATTTAGCTGTGTAATGACTCTTATCAAGGAACACAAGAGAGTTGAATTGTTCACGAATGATTGTATGACGAGGCTTCTTGTATAAGCAGTGTCAAGTTCAAGAGCATAAGATTTAATGTAACTATCCAGTAGAGAGGATGAGCATTCCATTCAAGTAACTTTGCCAATTGTTTTAATATAAAAGAGCAACGCGAATCGGTACTGACAACAGAAGTGATTCGACTCTCAATTCGGAAACATGAAGGTAAGCAAAGCATACATTTTATTGTTCATTTTTTTTCAATTTTGATGGACAGTTTTAACAATCGATTTATTGTTTTTTTTTAAGGTCTTAAGCATTTTTTTAAGTACTATCGCTCTAGCTTTAGCAAGCTTAGAATCAGCAAATTACGAAGGTTTTGAAAAATATTATTATGAAAAACCAGAAGCTACACAGGAATCGGCCAAATTTTTCATGCCGCTTGCATATCTTCCACCTCCGGGTATGATTCCAAGCAAATTGAAAGAAAATATATTTGAGACACCTGCAAATAGTGAAGATATTTTTGGAAGAGATTATGTAGCTATGAACAAAAGAATTAATTTAAATTCACGTTTTATGGAAAATCTACCTATACAAGATAATCAAATGGATAATGTCGAATTAAAAGCCGAGAGTGGTGTACAAGTTCGTCCAGGAATGACAGTTTTAATGCCACCTAGAATGAAATACGATATTTATCGCGATAATCAAGATATGAAGACCAAACATGATATTCATTTTTCGCACATGGAAGAGAATTCATCAGTTCACAGTGTTAAACAAACTTCTGGGATTAAGTCTCTGCCTCGAAATGGAAAAACAATGCAATCAGTGATTTCAGTTCAAATACCTGTTCAAAACCATGTAAACCATAAAGATAATTTATCAATGATGACCGTTCAAATACCTGTCGAAAACATTGTTAACCATCAAGATAATTTGCTTATGAAGAGCGTACAAATACCAGTTGAAAGCGTAGTTAATAATCAAGATAATTTATCTATGATGACCGTTCAAATACCTGTCGAAAACATTGTTAACCGTCAAGATAATTTATCTATAAAAAGTGTACAAGTACCAAATGCGAACATTATTAACGTTCAAGATAATTCACCTATGAAAAGCGAACAAATACCTGTTGCAAATTTTGTTAATAATCAAGACAATCTATCTATGAAGAGTGAACAAATACCTGTTGCGAACATTATTAACGTTCAAGATAATTCACATATGAAAAGCGAACAAATACCTGTTGGAAATTTTGTTAATAATCAAGACAATCTATCTATGAAGAGTGAACAAATACCTGTTGCGAACATTATTAACGTTCAAGATAATTCACCTATAAAAAGCGAACAAATACCTGTTGGAAATTTTGTTAATAATCAAGACAATCTATCTATGAACAGTGAACAATTACCTATTACGAACATTATTAACGTTCAAGATAATTTATCTATAAAACAAATACCCGTTGAAAATGTTGTTAATCATCAGGATAATTTATCTATAAGTAATGAAGAAAGCAATGTTGAAAGCTCATTAAAAAATGAAAATTTACTGGATCAAGACATCAAGCAGATTGACAAATTTGTATCGACAACTCAAAGTAGTGCTGAAAATTATGAAACAGCTGCCTCTGATAAGACTGAAAAAATATATGCTAATGTTGTAAGTATTTACTCAATTAATCACTATTCCATTGTGATAAAACATAAAAAGAATTCTTCATCGTTACAGGCACCAGCTAAGTACAGTTATGAATATATTGTTAATGAGGGTGGCAACGACTTTGGAGCGAAAGAAAGTCGTGACGGCTCTGAAACTCAAGGCGAATACTACGTGTTATTACCTGACTGCCGAAAAATGACTGTAACTTACACAGCGAATGAAAACGGATATGTACCTGAAGTTTCTTATAAACTAATGCCGAACTGCGTCGTGCAAGAACCAATGAAAGCCATTTCATCTGATAATCGTGAAAAATTCGTCAAAGCATCAAATAAATTGTAATGAACTCTTGCCTTAGAATTGTTTCCTACAGTATTAGTTAAAAATATTTGTTATTGTCTTTTTTTTATTGTATTAAATAATATTTTATAATAAAGTAATTAAAACGTACCTATTCATTTGAGTCTTCATTTTGCGATCCATATCAAAGTATTTTTGTAATACTGTAAAAATTGTACTTTTACTAAATATATTGAAAGTGCAATTAAAATTAATTTTCATATTTTTATAAAATTATAATTTAATTTAGATTTGGTTAAAAAGTTGTTGAGTAAAGAATATTTGTTAGTACTTCTATCTAGTACATATTCTACAAGCATGATTACTAAATAAAATGATCGTTATTTTGGTGTTCAAATGGAGTCTTATAAATACTATAGTTCAATGACCTTATTGATTGGTATAATTAAGTAATTAAAAAATTTGAATGCTGAGCATGAGAAGTGTTGCGTTACTTCATGAATTAATTTCATATTGTATGGAATACATAATATTTTGGGATTAGCGTGATGGATAATATAGAAAGTTTTCGTATTCAATATATTTCTATATTAAAAATGAATTTAAAATGTCAACAACTTTGCACCTGTGGTCAAAAACTTTAACTTTTTTCTGAAATGTAAAAAATAAAAAGCAAGAACAAATACATTTCCTCCTTATATTGTAATAAAAGACGTTTTCAATAACCGCTGTAAAAAAAATTCATTTGAGTAGAGCTTCCTCATAAAAATATGCTCTTTCTTATATTCATTTTTATGTATAACTGTCGACAGAAACTAACTCATAAATAAAAAATCGTGGAGTAACTTCTTTGTCGTCGAAGTATCTAGAAAATATTGGATTGCTTCATTGAGCAGATTTGAATGTCGACGTTTTAGACATGGAATTTCATGGAATCAAATGAAATTTACTCGTGTGAATGACAACAGTAATATCAATATCGAGTTTGAACATTCTGTATGTTGTAATATTCAGTACGATGAGATTCAAAATATGTAAAGGAGTAGGGTCGTCTAAGAATATCTATAAAAAGCCATACGAGGAGGCGATCGCTAGTCAGTTAGTTTTTTAACCTAGGATTAGAAACATGAAGGTGATACACTGTTGTATAATAGTTTTTAATTGATTATATTTTGTTTGATTAACAAGTTTTTAATCACTTCTCATTTATGCAGATCCTCATTTCTATTCTTGCTGCCATCGCAGTGGGGGTTGCCAGTGCTCAGTACGACCCATACAAGATTGATTACGAACCACAGTGGACTCGTCCAGTGGATTATGCATACCATTACCCAAAACCACTCTATCCCCATTCGTATACAAGAGCCGTCGCACATACAGGCCTTGCATTTCCTTACTTTGCATGGAGTCATTTGCCAGTTCCTTATTCTTATTCTGTCCGTCCAAATACAAACTCACAATCAGTAGCGACAACCTATACAGATGCGCATTCCATACCATCAGCGCCAATTGCTTCGCAGGGTTCTAATCAGGAATTCACATATTTTAAACCCACTACTACATCTACTACGTCTTCAACATATCTACTACCTACCACAACTACTACCACTGAACGTCCTACCTCGAGCTCGAGCTTACCTTCATCATTTGAATATGTGATCATTCCTCCATACCATATAGTTCCAAAACAAATAACCATTACAAGCACTACGCAAAGTTCAACTCATTTACCATCGACCAGCACTACAACTAAGCGTCCAACACAAGTACCATCGACCAGCACTACAACTAAACGTCCAATACAGGTGACATCGACTACCACTACAACTCAGCATCCAATACAAGTACCATCGACTACTGAAACCTTTAGTTCAACCCATAAACCATCCACTACTACAACCACTACTACCACTACTACCACACTTCCATCGACCACCGACGCGCCATCAAAATCGTATGTTCCTCCACAGATATATTTACAGACTAAAGGCAACGTAGATTCACTTCTGCCACCAACGGAAACCCATGTTTCACAGACACATGCATCTCCAGTAACAACTACCACCCCAAGTTCAACTCATAAACCATTACCATTACCTACCTTTTCTACTGTAAGTCAAACGAACCCACCAACAACTACTACTGAAGAACCGATTCCACATCAATCAAAAGTACGTCAACCAGTAAATCCTGATCTTTGGAAATTATGGAACCACAATAGTGATTTGCCAACAGAGTATAAATATGATTATGATGAAGAAAATCTTGCTTCATCCACCGAAGTAAGTCAAACGAACCCACCAACAACTACTACTGGAGAACCGATTCCCCATCAATCGAAAGTACGTCAACCAGCAAATCGTTATCACTCGACATATTGGAACCAAAATAGTGATTTGCCAACAGTGTATAACTATGCTTATGATGAAGAAAATCTTGCTTCATCCACCGAAGTAAGTTATTTTGTTAATATTTAATTAAAAGCCATCTTATTTACAATATTGTTTTTTTCATACAGAGACCAGATAGTTATATTTATGGCTACAAAGTAAACCAAGGTAGAACTGATTATGGACTAAAAGAGAGCAGGAAAAGTGGTTTGACCCGCGGACAATACTTTGTTGAATTGCCAGATTGTCGCAGAATGATCGTCGACTACGAGGCTGATACTGAAGGTTTTCGTCCGGTAATTACTTACGACAACATTCCCGATTGCGTCATTGTAGAATCTTCTACTGCATCCAAAATGAGAACATGAGAAAAGAAATCTACGGTAACCTTATTTCTATATAAAAGGATTACTTTATCATCGAAAATAACGCAACTAAAATTGTTTAAAAAAAATTAATTATTAAATGAGATTGTTAAGTCTACTATAGTAGATTTTAGGTTTTAGTTGTAAATTTTAAATTATAATACCAAGCTTGAAAAAATGAGAAATTGTAAGAGTGAAAAATATTTAGTATATAATAATCTAAAAACGTAATTATTTGTAATTTCACTTTTTTGTAGAAATGAAATTCGAATGCTCGTATGTAAATAACTTTTTTATAAAAGCTTTTCTAAATCTATAAATTATGATGTTTTTTAGTTGTTATTAAATGTTTCTTTTAGGGTTTATAAAAATTAAAAAAAAAATAAGTTGTATTTTTCAAATTAAAACAGTCATATGTAAATTTTAAACACAAAATAAATCTGAAATAAAATTTTAACTAAAATAATTAATTCAAAATTTTGTGTCATCTTATTCGAAGTAAATACCAACAATATATTTTAATTTATAAATTGTGACTCCTCGAAACGGAGTTTAAAAATTCAAAGCCATATAATGCGCACTTCTTCTACTAAAGTATTTTATTCAAGTACTATGTATTCATATCCCTAATTTAAATTGATTGAAATACCACTAAGTCATAGTCAAGATTGAGTGTAATATTTTCAAATGAAATTCAAATTAAAATATCTTAAGTTCTTTTTTAGTGCGCTTCGTTTCAAAATAAGTAGAAGGAATATCCAATTGTAGTTTTTATCATGATATTAAAAAGAAGTACCAAACAATGTTCCTTGATAAAGAAGTTGAAAATTTATTTTCAACAATTTTCAAAAGTCAGATAATGTACCAATTCCTCTTCATATTGATTTTAATGTGACAATTTTAACTGAGTAAGATAAAAGAAAAAAAGAAAAGACTCGTATCATCTCACACTCTTCTTAAACAAAATGAATGAGTATAGGCCAGACTTGCGCAAAACACCACACAATTTCGATAGTATATACGAGAAATGAACATATAGATATATATTGGGTGCCGAAGTTGCGCACCCTTATTTGTCCATTTCTCGAGACCCCTGAGAATTTTCGGTTCGTCGGATGCTAGAGTAGAAGAGCGGGAAATCCCATTGCCGATGTGATTGAACTTAGACGCGCGTTCGCCTCTCTCTCACTTGCGTTTCTTTTTCTCGTTTTCTTCTTTGTGATCGAATCGAACACCCGCAGAATCCAGCTAATGGTCTAAAGAAGAAATTTCGCATTCTTTTCTCTGTTCCTCAAAGAAGCTTTAATCTTGATGATATATATCTTTATTTCTTGATAAAACCGTCGTGCAAGCAAACGATATAGATAGTAGAGGAAAAGACGCAGAAACGATGTCTTTAAGATGAGTTGAGATTGTGCGTATGTGAACGTATTCTGATGAATTTTATTTTAATTAAAGTATCTTCTTTGCTTTGAGTAATTACAAGTATTTCTGAACTTTTATTCGCTGGATTTCGTATTTTTATTGTTATAAAGGGATCGTGTTGCATAAGAAATCATAAAACTGATAAATACTGGATAATTATTATGCATCATTGAGCATAGAATAACTTGAAAAATGTTGTTACGTAGCTCATCGATATCTGGTGCTCAAATTTATCGATGTATTTTATTTTCCTCGTATTCCAGAAAAAAACGGTAAAGAAAATACTGTTCAGACACGTACAATAATAAAAAAAGTATCGAATGTCGTGGATTCGCGCGGAGGTGTAAGTACGCCGGCCTTCCATATACTCATACACGCACACACAATAAAAGTACGCATGAGTGTGCAATAGCGCGTGGAAGCTGGTAAAGAGAATCGGAAGCTTTAAAAATGGTTAAACGCTGATGCCATTAGGTTGCATTTCTCTCTCTCTCTCACTCTGCCGCTCTCGCGTAACAATGGCTGCGTGCATTAACCTTTGTGCAAAGTGCAGCTGTTGTAACTGCAGACACGAGATAGTTTGGTTTTTCCCGCTTCAATAGCCAGTACCAGTACGTTTACGGACGAACTCGCTGGAGCCATAGAGAATATAAAGCTAAAGTGAGAGAGACAGAGAGAAAGCAAGGGTATTTACAACCATTTCGCGTAATCTCGCTTGCGAATATACACACATCATTCGTTTGTGCTTGCGCCCAGTAGGCTTTTGCCGAACGAATTCGGAGAATCGAGCTTGCAGAAGCCAATTATGGCTCAGAAAAGTTATATTTACGGTTAATATATGCGCATGCTACTATTACCATATGTATAAACTATCCTTCATTTACATCTAGCCGAAACGCCGATAAGGAATTCAATTTTCGGGGTCCTTATCGACAATTTTAAACTCTATTGCTTTAAATACAGTTTGGGCGATAAAAAAATAATGAAACGGTCATCGTTAAATTGAAACAACATTAGTACTTTAAAATACCAATGCAATTTTTTCATGAATATATTTTCCACCTCGAAATTCCTTTTTAATCATGTAAAAAAACCATAAATGGATGGAGGCTTAAAAGTGATGGGTGCAGTCAAAAATTTCTAATGAAATACTATATTTCAGTCACCTTATAGCCATAATAATATATTCACTTCATGAAACATCATTTTTAAAGAGTTCGAAAGTCAAAGCTCCGGTAGTAGCTTCTCGCGGGGTGAAAATCGTTCAATCAGACTTCCGCTTCGATTCAAAAGAAAATAACGTGCTCACTACGGGACTTAGAGATCTCATATATGGCCGAGGCTTGCATAAAATAGACTGAATAAATCTTGAGTCTTATCAGAAAAATAAGGGATGGGAGCCAAGAGAAACTAACTTTCCTTCCAGATGTGCATTTTATCCCGCTCTTCTCATCTTTCTTATATTCTCTTTTGTTTTTTTGCCTTATGGGTTTCGATCGAGGGAAAAAAAATGTCACCAACTTTATGATAGTCTCATCAAATTATCATAAGTTCATTCGGATTATAGAATCACGTTAACTTTGTTTTCTTCGATACAGAAACTGATAAATATTTATGAAAGCAAAAGCTATCTGTTTTTCGTACAATAAAAGAGTTTTGAAGTTTATCATTTGATTGATACCAATTATCTCAGATTTAAACTTTGCTATAACTTCATCATGAATCCTTTATTCATCGCATAATCTTGTTATTAAGTTTTCTTTTCATTTTCATAATGTATTTATGCACGAGGATTGAAATCTTTTTGTAAACGGTCTCCCTTCTCATAATGTACGTTTTAATTATGGAAATTTGCAGATTTACGTCACATCAAATGATTTTAATCACATTGATACGATATTCATACTTTCACGCGAAACGTTTTAATTTCGTATTGTTATTGAAAATTTAAAAACTCTTACTTTGATGACAATCTTGAAGCGGTGCATGTATAGCTTTGTGAAATGTTCAGTCGATAAATTTTCGAAACTCACATGTAAAAACTTCCAAGCGAAATATCCACTTAACTAAGCGCACCAGACGTACCTCGAGCGGGAAAGTGATATTGCTCGGCAATACCCTCGTATACGCGAGTGCGAAGATATTATGGCTGTTTTCCATTGATTCGACTAGCGCTTATACAGATCTCGCGTGTACAGTACAGTATCTTCCTTTCTTCGGCAGCCTGCGTATATTATTCGCTTCGCTTCGCACGCTTTGAAGCGCGCTTGCATAAATTATTGAAAGCTTCTTGTATCTCAACTCCTTTGCGCCATTACAAAACTGCTTTGATTTCTTTTTTTTTTTAACTTGGATTTTGTCAATATTCTTTCTCTTGGTGAATATGCTCCTTCTCTTTCATTTTTTATGATATCTGTTGAGCGTCGAAATCATCGAAGCTGAAATGATTTTATCGTGCATATAACAATGAAGGCTTCGAGAGCTCACTTTACTTTGTTTAATATTTAATTTATTTAATCCTAAAAATGCGAAGTATATGATTTTGATTTCGCCTGCAATCTCAGACGATTGAAGTGACTCACTACATTTGAATAAAGCTTTTATCGAAAGAACCGATAATGTTGAATTCGATGGTATGACTACGTTTGATTACGAGCGACCATTAGTCATTAAAGTACGAAGAGTGCAAACAAGAATACATATGAGGTCACTTTTCTTCATAGAAGACACTTTTAGTAAAATCCATCATCAAAACTTTATGAGGTTCCTCGCGTTTGTGGATATTTAATAATGTTTCATTTTGAAATTGTTGTATACCATAATCATACCTGTTGTAAAAATATGAAGAAATCAAAAGCTGTCTGTTATTTCTAGATGTTTATTACGCAATATGCACAAATAGGCAGTTATGCGTAATAATTTTGAAGGGCGATATGCGATGGCTAATTTTATTATCTTATTTTACGTTTGTTCAAATTCATCCCATTTAAAGAGTACATCATCGATAATGATCAGTCACCCTCCAAGTAATTGTCCATTACCATTGTTATAAAAAGACCCTCGGTATCTATAAATGCTCGTTTTATGGACACCGAAAAGTGTGTAATCATTTTTATTTGAATTTGATTATGAATAAAAGCTGCTTTTTTCGACCTCTTGTAACAGCTCTGACCATTCAATTCGATGTCCATAAGCACCAACAGCAGTTGGGTATACTATATTATCCATACACACGTGTCGATCCACCGAGTGGAAAATGAAGGAAAAGAGGCCTATACTCCCGAGGGGTTATACCGCTTTAAATGCTAAATAGCTCGAAGGATGTAGAAAAGCAGAGCAGTTTTCGAAAAATTCCACGTACATATTTGAAAAGGCGCGCATGTAAAGCTCTGACCGCGCTGACGTGAGTATTTTTATTATCCGGCTACTGCTGTTGCTGCTACTCAGTCAGGTGGATTGACCTGTCGAAAGGCAGATGGAAAGCTGCTTATATGATATCGATTGAGCCTCGTTTTATGCAGTACTATAAGGGGGCTACGTTCCCTTGCGAGTTTCGCGCGCAACCTCTCGTTTAATTT